CAAAGAGAATAGACTAAAGACTGACTCAGGATCCACAGAAATTAAGATTTTGGTCCGAATTTCAAAGTTATATAAAAAAAGAAAAGATTAGAACTTTTAGAGATTTAGCATAATTTCGTATTATTAGATGTCCTAATCTTGAGTCTCATTTTCCACATCAAAACATATTTTATAGTATTATATCTTCCAAGGGTCAAGAACTAAATTATTGTATATGGTGATGTGTACCATACTTACGTGGATTTAAACCTCAGTTTTAACCATTTCTAATTTTCTATGGTTTTATATTATATCATGCATATATTCATCGCATTTCAGTTAGTTTTTGCATGAGTCCTAGAATATGCATTTATCTTTTTGGTCTATTTGAATCTTCATCTAAATATTTAAAGTATGTTTTGGACAAAAGATATCAAGAAGAGCAAAGAAGAAGGATCGAAACAAAGGAAAAGCGACGAACGGACAAAGAACACTCATCGAGCTAATTTTTAGCAAAAGAAAAAAAAATCACTCATCGAGCTATAACTAACCGGTGGATCCCTATGCGGATCAAGGGCCAATTTTAATACTTTCAAACCCACACATTTCCAGACCCAAACCACTCAAACCCCATGACACTTGTCCTAGCTCCCCTACCTCATTTCTCTATCAACCAACAAGTTTTTCCATTTTTTTATCCTTTGGTTAATAACTTAATATAAACACTCTTGGGTTCTCATCTAATCCATTTGGATATGGGGAAAACTTCAACTTTCTTATGCTATTTTAATTATGTCTTTAATTATGTTCTTAATTTAAGCTCTTTTTTTTTTTTGAAAAAAATAATTAAGTCATTACTTTAGTCCATGTAATTATGTCCTAAATCTCATTCCTTTGATTTTGCTTCCACCATATTCATGAGTGAGTAAACCTCACTAGTGGTGATTGGGTTAGGTAGGTGTTGATGCTTGTTAGTTGATCATATTTTTAAAAAATGGTAGATCTATGAATCTTTGTGGCGTTAATGGACTTGGTTATAAATGTAGTTTAGCCATCGGAATGGAATGCTTCGCGGCGTATATTGAATTTGAGCAATGCTTAGGAGGGCTTTTACCATTAGGGTGGACTAGTTCATTTTGTGTGTGTCTATCATCTTTAGAGGTTCTTTCATGAGTATCTAGTCTAGAAAATCAACCATTTGCATCTCATCTGTTTATCCCAACCCATGAACCACAACCTCATCATCATTTGTAAGAAAAAATCTGTAAGAATCATTTTACATAAATTCTTCGATCTTCGTCTTTAGCATTCTACAATGATGTCGTTTTACTTTGCATAACAATTCGAAAACTCTCTTGAGGAGCATGACAAGGAAGATACTAGTCATAAGAGGAAAACATCTTAGAGAAGATTTCAATTGTCTTGTTTTCATAAGTTGTTATTTTTTTCCAACAATTCCCTTCTTAATAGGCTATGATTTCATTTGTTACCTTAGTTAATTGATCTCTTACATTTTCTTTGTGTGATTCATTATTTGGTTTGACAAGAAAAACGATATGAAATGGATGCAAGAGTTTTTTATTGGTGAAGGATTCCCAAATTATCATCTAGGAAAAAGAGAGCTCCATAAAATAATGTAACATGCATCCAAGTTTTAGTAAAGCATAAACCAAAAAGAAAAAAATCATATATATAAGAAAAAAAGCATATTATGGTGTATTTACTCGGCTTCCTCAACAGAAGCCTCAATTCGAAGGAGAACGAATCCAACAGCAACACCAACAAGAGTAAGAGCGTTCATGATTGCTGCAATCTTGAAAATCTCTGCAACTGCGTTACAAGTAGAGGTTAATGCTCCCCCACGACCGCTTCTTCCATTGATGGACATGACAACATTGGCAAAGCACTGCTCTGTGCAGAGTGGCAGTCCCATGGAGACAACCTTGTTGTTCTGTGCCTTGAGACCGCCATATCCGTTGAGTCCTCTTACGTAAGAAACTTTCATCTCACTTCTCCTCTGGTTCTGTCCTGATTTGCACGCAATTCCCCATGAAATCACCGCCGGTGCCGCTGCTGTCGCCATTTCTTGGTGCTGATAAAGAAAACAAGATTCCTAATCCAAAACAAGAGAGATGGGTCTGAAGAGAATTGAAATTGGA